GGAAACGGCCTCCTGGTGGTCTTTGGGACTTCACAATCTGGGCACAACAATCCTAGGAAGCAAAGCCAAATTGGTGGTAAAATCTACAAGGTAACTGGCCTGGATTCTTCAAAATGGTCAACAGAGTGAAAACAAAGACCGGGGCTATTTCTGTCATAGGAGTGTCTGTCCTTCACCTTAAACCAGGGGTATTGCTGAGAGTAAAGGCCAGGATTCCCCTCCGCCCTGCTCCTGGGGAGTCCAGCCGCTGCTCATAATAAGATGGGCTCTTTGGTGGGCTCGCTTCCTGTCTGAGATCTTCCATCTTCTCACTCCACTCCAGCCTGAGCTTGGGGACATTCTTTGGTGTTCTCACTACCCTCCACCCTAAAGGTACCAGATTTAGCAAATGAAATTACTAAGTAACCACTTAGAATTTCAGGCCACAATAAATGACTGTTTAGTGTGTGTCTCACAAACCCCTTCCACCACTTTACCTCAGCAGGCTCTCTCAGAGCTTGTGTCTCTGAGCCTTGGGAGGCCAGGAGCTCCAAGTCTGCGCATTTAAGGCCCCTCTGGGGATCCTCTGGAGAAAGACAATAGCCTTGGTGCCTGCATCCCCAGGCTCCTCAGAAGCTCACCTTTCTCACATCTCTCTCTGGCCCCAGGTCTCAGTCAGCCCAGGGCTTTCTGTGAAGATCTGTAGAACAAAGCGGCCTGGGGCAGGAACCTCCCCCTACTCACCACTCACTCCAGCTGTGCCCAACTAAAGGCTCTTCTTATTCTAAAGAGGGATGGAGTGCTAGGCTACCCCAGCCTTCTGGAACCCTGGTTTTGTGACATCATCGCTCTAATACAATGGTTTGAAGCACAGAAACTGGCCAAGCTTCAGGGAGAAATGGCATATGGGTTTGGAAGATGAGGTGACAAGTATGAGGGAGACTCCTTGAAATTACAGAGTTCAGACTGCCAACGCCCTTCCTTTCTGGGAATAAGATGACCTTTGCCAAATTTCCCCCACCGAGTTTTGGTCAGGGCTGCTGGTTACAGGATCCTGCCCTCAGGCAACAGGGGATATCTCTGCCCCAGTGCTATATTTTGAACTAGATCTCTGTGAGACAGCCCACCTTCTCACAGGAAGCTCTTAGGTGCAGGCCAGAGGCAGCAGTTTAAATTTGTGTAGATACAGCTCACGTGTGAGGCCTCCATGAGAA